GGGCTCAGCCCAGGAGGCCGAAGAGCCGCCCCCCGCAGTTTTGTTGCTACCACCCAGCAGCAGTAGTCCTCACCATCCAGTGGCGCCGTCGCGCGACTCCGCCACCACGCTCGGGCGGGCGCCTGAGGGGGGGGGGGCGGGCGCCTGGGGGAGGGGGCGGCGAGGGCGGCGGCGGCGGCCAGGGCGGCGGCGGCGAGGGTGGCGGCAGAGAGGTGGCGGCGGCGAGGGCGGCGGCGGCGACGGCGGCGGCGAAGACAACGACGAGGGCGGAGGCGACGAGGGTTGGGTGGGGGGGCGTCTGGGAGGGGGCGCAGGTGCCACGGAGCCGTCCGCTCTTGTTGCCGATTCGGCACACCCTTTCCCTCTGCCTGGAGGGCGGCAGACACAGGGGTTTCTGTCGGGGCAGTGGGTCAATGTTGGGCTCGAGGCGTCCGGGGGGGGAAGGGCTGGTTACGCCTCCGCCTGAGGCGCAGTTAGGTATGTATGTATGCATGTATAGCTGTCTGTCTGTCTGTCTGTCTGTCTGTCTGTCTGTCTGTATGTATGTATGTATATATATATGTGTGTATCTAAACATTGATATGGTAGCCATCGTGGACCCCAGACAGCGTGTTTCTAGCAATATGCTGGGTAATCCAGGTGGAACAATCTATGTGGTGTAATCTATGTGATGCAATCTATGTGGTGCAAGCTATGTTGTGCAACCGACGTGGTGCGATCTGGGCTGGATCATCTATGTTATGCAATATATGTCGGAATATCTATGTTGTGTAGTCTGTGTGATGCAAGATCTGTTGAGCAATCTAGGTGGAGCAATATATGTGTCTCAATATATGCGGTTCAGTCTATGTGGTCTATGCGGTGCAATCTATGCGAGGCGGCGACGGGGCGGCGACGAGGCGGCGACCGCGAGTACGGAGCCGCTGGACCGGCCCGCGGGCCCAGACGACGGGCGGCGACGATGCGGCAACGGGGCGGCGGCGGCGAGCACGGAGCCACCAGACCGCCCCGTAGGCCCAGTTCCGTATAACAGAAGTAAGAACACCCACGTACAAGCAGTGTTTGGGGAATATCTTCATGCATGTATGTAATGTATGCATGTATGTAGGTAGGTAGGTAGGTAGGTCGGTCGGCATGTATGTATGTATGTATGTATGTATGTATGTATGTATGTTTGTATGTATACATATTCACGTATATGTGCTGTGTCATGCTATACTATGATGTGTTGTGGTATGGCATGTGATGGTATGATCTGTTTTGTTCTGTTATGATGGGTTATGCAATGCTATTACATTGTATGCTATGGTATGTAATGATCTTTTATGTTATGCACACCATGTCTGTAATGCCTGTTGTGTATGTTATGTAAGTTGTGCATGTTAGGTATGTTGTGTATGTATGCATGCATGTATGCATGTTTGCATGTCTGTATGCATGCATACATGCATGCATGTATGTTTGTCCGTCTGTCTGTCTGTCTGTCTGTCTGTCTGTCTGTCTGTCTGTCTGTCTGTATGAACGTATGTATCAATTCAAAGTTTCATGTCTCGTATACATTGGTGTATAGATGCGCACATACATGCACCTGTATTTTGTATGCGTGTGTATATATAGACGCATGTATACACATATCCCCCAAACATCGCTTGCACTTAGGTTTTGGACTTCTGTTCTCAGGAACTGAGCCTGCGGGCCAGTCTGGCGGCTCCGTGCTCGCCGTCGCCGCCTTGTCGCCGCCTCGTCGCTGCTCGTCTTCTGGGCCTGTGGGCTGTTCTGGCGTCTCCGTGCTCCCCGTCGGCGCCTCGTCGTCGCCTCGTCGCCGCCCGTCTTCTGGGCCCGCGGGCCGGTCTGGCGGCTCCGTGCTCGCCGTCGCCGCTTCGTCGCTGCCCCGGCGCCGCCTCGCATACATTTCACGGCATTGATTGCATCGCATATATTGCATCACATAGATCGCACCACATGGATCGCATTGCGTATATTGCGTTACATGGATTCACCACGTAGACTGCACAACATAGATCTCGCCACATATATTACGTCGCGCAGATAGCACAACATAGTTCGCGCCACATGTATTCTCCTTTCTTCTAAAGAATTAGGATCCCCCCCCGGGTATTGCAATTTACATCTGATTCTGCCCCCTCGCCCATCGTACATTTGAATTTATACCATCCCAGCCCAGCTGGTATCGACCCCCCCGCCATCCTCTGCCAAAACATACTATGCGCGCGCACTCGTTCATAAAGAATCATAAGTTTCAAAGAATCCCTGGCAAAAACATTGGACGAAGTGCACACGCGAGCGTCGTCGCGCGCGCATGCCGAAATCCTTCCAAAACCTTCGGCCTCGTACGGATTTCAGAACCGAGTGTCCAGAAGCACATATGAAACACATGGTTTCGCAACACGAACTTTCAAACAAAAGTGTGCGCGCGCTCTTGCGAATTCTTACGAAAACCATAGGTTTTTCAACACTGTCAGAACATACTACCAAACGGGCATCGCGCGCGCATGTCGAAATCGTTCGAAATCCCTTGCGCGCGTGCCGAGACGAAATGCGCGCGCGCGTCGTCGCGCGCGCGTGCCGAAATCCTTCAAAAACATTCGGTGTCGTAGCGATTTCAAAACCGAATGTCCAAAAACATACAACATCACATGGTTTCGCAGCATCAGTTTTCAAACAAGCTTGCGTGCGCTCTTGCGAATTCTGCCATACGGGTTTCTGGCGCCGCATGCCGACATCATTCGAACGCCCTTGCGCGCGTGCTGGGGGGGGGGCACGATCCGTGTCACATAAAACCTTGCGGGCCACTCTGGCGCGTCGGCCGCACGCGCATGTCGAATTTTTTCCAAAACCTTCATCGCCGACGCGAGGAATCGTCGTCGGCGAGATCAGCGTCGGCGCCAGCATTGGCCGCGCCTTCGTCGGTGCGATCTTCGTCACTAGCATCGCTGCTATCATCATCGTGTCTACCGTTGTCGGCGTTGCCATGATAGAGCGCCCGTCCAAGTCGCCGGCTCGCAGTGAAGTGCCCACGGGGATGCGGCCAGCGGTCAGCGCCACCGCGGCCGCGTCGGTGGCGCCAAACTAGCTGGCCTGTGCGCGCGCGTGCTAGGGTTGGCGCGGCCGCGGAGATGCACTAGCCAACGCCAAGCATGCATCGCAATCGCCGCCGCGTGGGTTTTGCAATGCGGGTGGGTGGGTGGGATGTTTGCAAGAGCTTGGGATGTGTCAGCTCGTTGCTTCAAAATCAATTGCATCACATAGCTTGTATCACATGGATTGTACCAGTCATATCACGCCACATCGACTGCTACACCTTGATTGCCCGACATCAGTTGCATCACGTAGCTTGCGCAACACAGATCGCTCAGCATATATTGCGCAACGTGTATGTAACAACATATCTTGCCTTGCATAGGTTGTACCGTATGTATTGCACAGCGTATGGTGCGCCACGTAGACTGCACCACATATCATGCCTTACATCGATTGCCGAACATACAACACAACACACCACAACACAACACAACACAACACAACACACCATGACATAACATGACACAACATAACACAACGCCAATACAATACAAGGCAACACGAGCCAAACTACTACAGTACAACACAAGACAATATACATCACTACCAGATAATCAAACATAATACAACACAGCACACGACACATCACATTTTTATATATGTATATGTATATATACACATATGTAAATGTATATGTATGTATGTATGCATGCATGCATGTATGTCTGTATGTCTGTGTGTATGTATGTATGTATGTATGTAGGTAGGTAGGTAGGTATGTATGTATGTATGTATGTATGTATGTATGTATGTATGTATGTATGTATGTATGTATGTATATATATATATATGTATATATACATATGCGTGCGTGATCCACTGATCCACTACCGCTTTATTGTGAACAAATCCCCCCCTTTCCCTCCAGAGCCCGGGGTTCCCCCCCTTCGAAAATCCCCCCTCTCCCTGCTGGAGCCTTCCCCCCCTCCCTTCCCCCCGGCACCCCCCCCCCTTTCTCCCCCCCCCCCTCCGGAAAACCAGGGGGGGTCACTACCCGTTCGAACCCCCCCCCGTCCAGAAAACCGAGGGGGGGTTTACTACCGGTTCGACCCCCCCCCCACTCACCGCCGGCATACGACTCCCAGGTCCCCATCCCCGTCCACCGTTCGCACCAGATCCCCCATTGCTGTCCCCAGCACCACTGTCCCCACCACCACTGTCCCCACTGTTCCCACCACCGTCCCCACTGTCCCCACCAGTGCCCCCACCACTGTCGCACCGTCCCCACTGTCGCCACCACTGTTCCCACCACGGTCCCACTCTCCCCACTTCCCCCACGGTCTCCACCACTGTCCCACTGTCCTCACTGTTCCCACCACTTTCCCACTGTCCCCACTGTCCCCGCCGCTGACTCACTGAGCTGTCCCACTGTTCCCACCACTGTCCCCACCACTGTCCCCACTGTACCTCTGCCCCATTGTCCCACCACCGTCCTCGCCACCGCCCTCACCAATGTCCCCACCGCCGCTGTCCCCACCACTGTCCCACTGTCCCCACCACATTCCCACTGTCCCCACACCACTTTCCCCACGATCACCGTCCCCACCACTGTCCCACAGTCCCCACCACTGTCCCACTGTCCCCACTGTTCCCACCATTGTTCCCGCTGTCCCCACCAGTGCCCCCACCAGTGTCTCACTGTCTCCACTCTCCCCATCATTGTCCCACCACGGTCCCACTGTCCCCACTTTCCTCACGGTCCCCACCACTGTCCCATTGTCCCCACTGTTCCCACCACCGTCCCACTGTCCCCACTGTCGCCGCCGGTGTCCCACTGTGCTGTCCCACTGTCCCCACTGTCCCCACCACTGTCCAATTGTCCCCGCTGTCCCCACCACTCTCCCCACTCTATTTCTGTCCCACCACCGTCCTCACCACCGCCTTCACCACTATCCCCG